TTCATGTCTCTCACGTTTTTGTTGTTGTTGCTGTGCACGTTTGACGCAGCAATTCTGCTTCCAAGAACATATCCTGCAGACGCGTTTACACAGGTTCAAAATGTTATGGAGTTCCTGATCCCTGGGCAAAAGACCATAGACTCAATAGAATTATAATTATAGTTAAAAGACTTACTTACTGAGTACTGTAGCAGGGCGACAGTCTCTGAGGCAGACTTGAGATTGTTGAGAAGGAGGGCAAGAGAAGGATTTTTAAAGGGAAAGACTGCAGGAAGAGCTTGAGGATCAACACCAGCCAGCCGGCCAGGAGCCCTCTGCTCTGCCACGGCAGGTGGTCAGACGCCCTCGGAAGAGTCCTGGAATGTCCGAGCAAGCAGCTTTCAGAAGCCGAAAAGCAGTTAGACCTACCAATCAGATGGCCGTAGCTGTACGTTTCTGGATGGGGGTCAGTGAGCCAGGATTCCTGGAAATTTACCATCCAGTGATTGGAGTCAGAGGCTAGTGGGTACCAAGATGAATGCCTAGCACAAAATGGAGGGGGTTTTGTTTGTTTGTTTGTTTGGGCTTTGTTTTTCTGTTTGTTTGTTTGGTTGGTTTTCTCTGTGTAGCCCTGGCTTCCATGGTTCTACTCTGTAGAACAGGTCGGCCTCAAGCTCAAACATCTACCCGACTCTGCATCTCCCGTGCTGGGATTAAAGGTTTGCGCCACCGACTCTGCTCTTTTTTTTTTCTTTTAAATTTTTACTCACTTTTTTTTTTTTACTTTCTCTCTTTATGGAGTTTCTCTAGACGTCACTAAACTTGCATGTGTCAGAAGCTCTTTATTGTGTCGCCATCAGAGCAAAATACAAGAAGCAGCCTCAGGGTCCAGGCCCAGGGCTGTTTCCTGTTTACGGTCCATCTCTGCAGTGCAGCTCTCCACCAGTGGGCACATGAGGCAGCCAGGTGGAGTGACGCAGGCCCGCAGGCCCGGCTGCCTGACACGCAGAGGCGAGAGGCTGTCAGAGTCAAGGCCACCCAGAGCACCTTAGTCAGGCTCTGCCTCCACATAAAGTGTTAAAGAGGGCTGGGCTCTTGGCTCAGTGGCAGAGCGCTTGCCTAGTACGCATGACTTTGGGCTCAATCTCTGATATGGAGGTCTGGGAGAGGAGGCAGCACCATACTGCCTGTGGGGGGGGTGACTCCAAAGATGTTTCTGTTTAGGGAGAAGCATTTACCATTCATGCAAATGAAAATACACATTTCCTTTAAAAAATTGTGTGTGTGGGGTTGTGGGGGGGGTAGGGGAGGGTGTATCATAACATGTATGTAGAAGTCAGAGGACAAGTTTCAGGAGTGGGCCCTCTCTTATCGTGTGTCCCAGGAATGGAATTCAGGTCCTCAGACCCTGCTGAGCCAGCTCACTGGTCCTGAATATGTATATATTCTTATGTACACATTAAACACTTCTGTTTGGTCTTGTGTGTGTGTGTTGTTTTGTTTTGTTTAATATTTTTTATTTTTAAATAATTTTATACATTAACTTGTATCCCAGCTGTAGCCCTCTCCCTTTTTCCCTCCCAATCCTCCCCTCCCTCCCTCATCTCCTCACTGCCCCCTTCCGAGTCGACTGAGAGGGGGTGTCCTTGTTTTGTTTTTTTTTGAGACTGGGTTTCTCTGTAGTCCTGCTTATCCTGGAACTCTCTCTGTAGAGCAGGCTGGCCTTGAACTCAGAACTTGCCTGCCTCTGTCTCTACCTCTGTGCTGAGATTAAAGGCGGGTTCCATCACCACCCAGAATAAACACTTCAAAAAAAATTGTAGAAGAAACTAAGAATAGTGCCAGCCTCTGAGAAGAGGGCACAGGTATGGGAGAGACTGGTGGACAGGGTGGGCAGAGATGGTTTTTACTCCATTGCACCGTACCATGGGCCAGTTGTATCTTATACATTTCTTTTGTGTTTACACAACCTTTGTTGCTGTTGAGTAACTTGTTAGCCATTTGGGAAAGGTCCCATGTTAAGCCTTAGACACAACATGGCCCAAACAGAGCATTTCCAGTATGTTAGAGCAGACGCATAAATGAGCAAACCATGCCTTTCCACGCTGTCAGAATTTACTGATTGACAACAAACTCACAAGCTATGTCAGCTTTCCTGGCTTCATGTTGCCAATTAACCCCTATTTTGCCATGTAGCTAGCATTTGGCTATTATAAATTCTTTCATTCTAACCTTTACTTTTTTTTTTCCCCCTCCTTTCCTTTTAGAGGCAGGGTCCCCAGACCGTGCCTCAGGCTGGCCAGGAACTCATGACAGGCCTACCTCAGCCTCCTGAGGTGAGGTTCCAACACCACACCCAGTGGCCCAGTCTTTCTGATTTTAGCACATCACACGGCACACAATCATGTATGCTGGTTACAGGTGGCTACGAAAGGGCTGAAGCGGCTTCAGAGTTCATTACCGCAGCCTGGTGCTGCAGGAGGACAGTTGGCACAGGTGCCAGGAAAAGCCTACAGAAAGCAAGACCGGCAGTCTCGGGAAATTCAGGTGCACAGCTAATCTGGCACAGGGATGTAAGACTCGGGTCCAGCCATTTTGAATGTTAGTTTAAGGTAGCTTGGATGTCATGGGAAGGAGAAAATGTGTCCAGGGACAAAGGCAGAGTCTTTCACTGTGACAAGTTCCTGGACGAGACTCATGGTGAGTAAGCAAAGCAGGTGACTAGTCACTGTGCTGGCCACATTTCAGTCTTGGGGTCCTCCTTAGTCTCAGGTTAACGTGGTCAGAAGCCCGTGTGTCCGGTGTTTCTGAGACATTTGCTGGTGGCTGCTGACTCACGCCTGGTGCTGGCAGGTGGAGCTTGTTAAGCTTTTCATTGTGAATTTCTGGACATTGAAGTGCCCCTCCCCCACCCCAGTGGTGGGTGGTCCAGCTTCTCTGAGGCCAGGTGGCCTCAGGCTCCTGCTTCTGAACCCAGGACCTTGGCACCCACAGCTTCATCCCACCGCACACTGAGCTTCAGAGCCAGAAGCCCCTCCTGGTCTCCCCTCACAGCACACTCAGGCACCTGCTCTCCTTGTCCTCTCCCGGGGCCTACCTCTGGATTCTAGTCGCAATGCTGCCTAAGAGTCTTCCCAAGCCTGTGCCAAAAGGTGCTCTCCCCCGGCACCCTGTACCCCCTCCTACAACACTTTCAGGGTGGTGAGGAGCTGGTTATAGAGCCCGGGTGAGGGCTTTAGTCCAGGCTCTGCCTTTTGGTGGATTGTGGCTTTAAGCAGCTTCTGGTCTGTAGCCTGGGAAAACAGTGTCACTGGGAGGTTCCCGTGAAAAGTGTTTGGCATAGTCTCCCGAGCTTGCTAAGGCCTCCATGAATATTATCAATGTCCAGTGCTCATTAGCTTTAGCCTCTGAAGCAGCAGGCAGGCTCCAGGCCCGTTGGCTGGCTTTGTGTTCTGTTTTCATTCCTACCAACCATTCTAAATGTCAGCTGATGCTTCTCCTTGAGAGAAGGACTCATGACCCCTGTTGACATGGTCGTCCAGGGCACAAAAACAGTGCCTTGTGTCAACGTTTGACACATTTCAGGACCTTCCCTTTCCCTGCCGTGGCCCCGCAACACACATAAGGGTCAGTGGGGGAGACACTTGTTAATATATTACTTAGGACAGCGCTGGTGGTGTAAAGCCTTGGCATGGATCCGTGTGGAAGCAGGAGGTGGTGCTGGGTGCATGTAATTCCAGCAAGTTCAAGGCCATCTTTTGCCAGACAGTGGAGGCCAGCTGAGGCTACATGCTTCAAATAAACGAAAACCCCACATCCAGCAGACACCTGTTAACTCTGTGTGCATTATCTCCTGGAATCCTCATGGGTCCCTATAAAATCAGTGAGGAGTCCACTGTGTTGTCCTTGGGGCCCTCCCAGACCTGAGAGCAAGTCACCGAGCAGCCCTCAGACTAACATGAGGCCTTCAGAACTGAAGGACAGGCCTGGGGCCCTGAGCTAGTCCTAAACTGCCCTCAGGATCTGCATCACTTGCTAGGAGGTCTGAGCTGGCCTTGAACTTCCAGTCCTGCCTCCAGCTCCTGAATGGTGGGTCATAGGCATAGTCAACACGCCTGGCTCAATGTCTCTATTAGAAGCACCTGCTTCATCTCTCATCCCGCAATCCCCGTCTTGTTGAGGAAACCGAGCAGCACAAAGTTTGCTAATTGCTCATGGCGGTGTAGCTTTCATTTAGCCCTAGGCGGCTGGGCGCTACAGCTTGAGCTCCACAGCCCTCCGGCTGAGCACCCCTCCTCAGGAGTGAAAACAACCTTCAGTGAAAGTGTTATCCTCATAATGAGTCTGGAGAAGTGGGGGCGGTGCAGTGAAGGGCTCGGGTGTCATCTCATCAAGGTCAAACATCCCACAAAGGTTAGAGCCAAGATCGAGACTCAGCCCCATCTGACTGAAACCCCTGGTTTTCAGTATGCTTGGTTCCTGCCTTGCTCAGCAACTGCCTCCAGCCAGTCAGCGGGTGTCCAGCCTGCCTGGGTGGCCTGCGATGGCCTAAATTCCTACCACGCTGGTAGATTCCCTGTAGGGGATCATCCTAAGTATTAAAGTTATAATGTCTGGATTCGGATCCTCGCCCCCAGCCTCCTGAGGGTCAGGCCTGGCGTAGAGGTCGGTGTGTTTAACCAGAGGCCTTGGCCTGGGATAGTGTGGCTAAAACCCAGAATGGCTGGGGGCTTTATCCCTTCATTCTGACAGTATAGTCGGAGAGATACATCCATAGTCATTCACACAGGTCCCTCTTCAGTATGCCCCTCACCCCAGGCTCCTAGAGATGCCTGACAGTTCCCCGGCCATATACACACACGTGAAGGCTCTCGGAGCTGTACACTCAGCCCACTCAAACACAGGGCACTCAGTCCGCAGAGCCACACCCCCAACCACAGGGAGTGTTCGCGCGCCCGGGCTCCGCCCCGCCCCCTGCGCCGTCCCCGCCTCCAGCGCCGCCCCGCCCCGCCCCCACTTCCGCCGCCTTCCGCAGGACCGGGCTGGATCCCGCTTCCTGCTGCGGGTTTTATGAGACTGGCGCGACTCATGAAGGTGTTCGTCACCGGCCCGTTGCCGGCGGAAGGCAGGGCGGCGCTCGCCCAGGCCGCAGAGTAAGCGCCCGCGTCGTTGCGGAATTGCCGCTGAGCCTCCGGCCCCCTTCCCAGTCCGTCCACCTGGCCGATGTCCCCGAACCTGCGCCGGGTGGGTCGGCTGGCTCCAGACACGCTGCTGGAGCTGCCTCCGGACTGGGGGCCACCTTCCAGGACCCCGGTGGCTGGCAGGCAGTCGAGGTGGAGCCAGGACCCGAGAGGCTGGCGCTTGGGGGCTTTGCTAGGAGTTGCCAGCTATGTCCGCAGGGAGCGGGCTTGGAGTTTGGGGCCGTCTAGAGAGAGTTCTCCCGGTTGCAGCTTGCTCCAGGCGCCAGGCTATTCATCTCCAGCCTTCGGGAAAGGCAAGGTCCAGGCTGTGGATTTCACCCTCTGAGATTAGTTGACAGGCAGGAAGGAGTGTTCAGGGGTTGTGACAGTCATTGGCTTGGCTCCTGGAGTGGTCGACCGGGCGATCCGATGACTGCTTTCTTCTATCAGCCTTGTCTAGGGGTAGCCTTGCTGGGAGCTGTGACTTCCAACAGTGTGAAGTCACCGATTTGGAGACACAGCCTAGACGAGCTCGGGCCGTACCCCAGGTCACTCAGCGACAGGTGGCAGAGCTGGCCTTTATACCCAGCCTTATCACTGGACAGCTTTGCAGAACCGTGCCAGTTTGGGAGAAGGCGAGCCCCTCCCCCCTTCAGCAGCCAATTCTTTTGAGTTTTGTTTGTTTTGTTTTTCGAGACAGGGAGTTTCTCTGTGTAGCCCTGGCTGTCCTGTACTCGCATTGTAGACCAGACTGGCCTCAAACCCACAGGGAGCCACCTGCCTCTGCCTCCCTGAGTGCTGGGATTAAATTAAACACTGAAGGGTTGGGCGACTTGTGATTTGCTTTGAAAACTTTCTAGCACAATACACCTTTTTCTAAGGACGTGTTTGATTGGTACTTTGGGTCCTTGAAGGACCCGGAGGGCCTGCCAGCCACTGTCCTGTGACCCCTGTGCACACACACACTGCGGCTGCTAGGGGCTGGGAGGAAGTGCACGCTACTGCTCCCATGGCTAGGCGACCTTGAGCTGGTGAGCCCACAGGGCGAAATTTTTTATTTTGTGAACTGTAACTGCGGCTGGTCATTGATCTGATGCAGGGCTCCCTTCATTCCTCTACCGTCCCCCAGCGTTCTCCACACCTGGCTGCCTGGAGAGCCACTGTGAATCTGAAAGAGCTCTTTCTGGGCTAGAAAGCTCAGCTTTTGTCAGCTTCCCCCACTGGCAGCTCTTCCTCCCCTCCCCCCAACTACACTCCAGACAGTTCTGAGCCCCCCCCCCCCCATCTCAATTCTGGCCAGCCTAAGGCCATAGCAGCTGGAAGGCTGTTTGCCAGCTGGGCCTGGCTTGAGTGGCTTCCCTTCCCTTCAGCTGTGAGGTGGAGCAGTGGCCTTCCGATGACCCGATCCCCAGCAAGGATCTGGAGCAAGGTGTGGCGGGGGCCCAGGGCCTGCTCTGCCGCCTCACTGACCGTGTGGACAAGAAAGTTCTGGATGCTGCAGGTATGTGCTGACCTGGTCTGTGTAGAATTCTGGTGTGTCTGTGTGGTTGGGGGGGGGGGGGATGTCTTGCCCCGGGAACACATCAGCTTGCTGCGGCTGGCATTTGAGCTGGTCTGTAATATTTTCCCAGTCTTCTGAGGGCATCCATAACACTTGCCCCACCTGGCACGTATTGTCCCCATTCTGGCTTGTAAGTTCCTGAGAGGCTCCAAGAGGGCAAAGACCGCCTGTTGTCTGAGTGAGGTGCAGGGGTGGAGGGGTGCAGGGGTGGAGGGGGAGGCCCGGGTTCTGAACCTTCTTGCTGTGCCATAGCCTTGCGTGTGACCTTGCGTGTGAGCGCTCTGGGCCTGTGTGCTGCAGGACAGAGGGCCCAGCACTGTCTGCCCAGCCTGTGTGCGCAGCCGTGGCCCCAGCTTCCTGAGTAGGGTGAGCCTCCTCCCCTGAGTTGTCAAGGAACACCGCAGACCCACGCCTGCCCCGGCCTTGACTAGATGCTTGGTGGTGGAGGAGAGCACCTGAGAAGGGAGCACCCCAGCCGCCTCAGCACCCCTGGGGTGCCCAAGAGCGAGCCTTTGGGGTCACTACTCCAGGCCACGGTGGATCAGAGTCCTGAAAAGCTGTACTTCGATTGGGGAATCTGTTTGTAGATGGCAGAGGGAGTTTAGTTTTATGGGAGGGATGGAGATGGCAGCGTTTCGCCTTTATCTAAGAAGTGATAAGTAAATGTTCCTGGGATCAGCCACAGAGCGTGGCTTTGAGCCCCGTGCTGACAGGTCTGTGTGTGTTTTGCCTGCCAGGAACCAGCCTCAGAGTCATCAGTACCCTGTCGGTGGGGGTTGACCACTTGGCTTTGGATGAAATCAAGAAGCGGTAAGTGCAGCCAGGGCTCTGGACCGGGCCTGGGGTGAGGCTGACCAGAGACGGCAAGAGGAGCTCTCTGCTGGTCTCACTCCGTGAACGTGCCGAGGGGCCGAAGCTGAATGTCCACATCTGCACAAGCCATAAAACCCAGAGGGCCAGAAGCTGTGCTGACCTATGTCTGTACCCTGTCATGCTTGCTATCTTTTCTGAGCTCCGAGATATCCTGGAATTAGAGAAGGCAAGCGTTATTGTTTCCCTTTCCAGTGAAGAAATTCAGGATGATTCAGTAGTCTCTCGCTGCAGCCTGGGAGCCCTGATCTTCCGTTTTCATACACTCCCCTCTGTGGGATGTGATGGGAATGAGGACCATCACATAACATCGTGGAAAGGGCCCATCCTTAGACACTGGGGAAGGGCCTTGAGGAGGCCCCTGTTAAAACCAGATGTTTGATTCCTAGCGGGATCCGGGTAGGCTACACACCAGGTGTCCTGACGGATGCCACCGCAGAACTTGCTGTCTCCCTGCTGCTCACCACCTGCCGCCGGTTGCCAGAGGCCATAGAGGAAGTCAAAAAGTAAGTTGATGCCTGGGAAAGTCAGGTATGCTCAGCAGCGGGGCCGGAGTGCTCAGGTCAGCCTGGTCCAGACCTGCAGTGTCTCTCTGCAGTGGGGAGAAGGGCTCAGCTCAAACACTTAGTGCACGAGGCAGAGCTGCATTAAAGGGGCGGGGGGGGGCAGTCTGAGAGATGAGGCTAAGGGAGGGACAAATCCTGCCGACCTGGGTCCTGTGGAGAGGTCCCGGAGCTGCTCGGGGTAAGGCTGTGCTGAGCTTGACGAGGACCAGAAGTGGCTTTCAGAGCCCAAGCTGCTCACACCACACTACCGTGGCTCTTCAGTGTAAGGAACGGGGAGCTTTCTTGGGGATGCCCACGGGTGTCGTGTGGGAGATACTGTGGGCACAACTGAACAAGCATTCTCCTTTTGGGTGCAAGGGTTCTGGGTAAGAAGCCAGAGCCCGCCCCGTGCAGGGCCATGTGGTCACCGTGGAGGGCAGCTTTTTCTTATCTGGAATACTGACTCTAGAACTTGTTCTGACACCCAGATCTAAGTTTGCAGCCTCCATTTCCGATTCCCCGGTGGCACAGCCTCCAAAAGTGGGAGTGCGGCTAAGGCCCCTGTGGCCCCACTTCCTATGTCCCTTCAGAAGAGCCATTCAGTTTAGCACCGCTCTATGTCCTGGAGGCAGAACTGGCTTTAGACAGAGGCCAGGAGTGCCCAGCGTATGGGCTCCTGTGGCCTCACCCCTTTCCCAGGCTGGGCTGCTGACCACCCCTTCTTCCTGCAGCGGGGGCTGGAGCTCCTGGAGCCCCTTGTGGATGTGCGGCTACGGACTTTCGCAGAGCACTGTCGGCATTGTGGGGCTAGGGCGCATCGGTGAGGCTCCCCATCGCATCCCTTCTGGTTGAGTCTCCAGTGCCTAGACAATGGTTTGGAAAGGCCATTGGAAAGGCCGTGTATGTGGCTAAAAGAATAAAAAAGCTAGCTCAAGAGTTCCCAAGAACTCAGTGGCTTGCAGAAGCAAAGTTCTGAGAGCCAGGGTTCTTCCGGGTTTGCTAACGAACACAAAGGCTCTAAGAGGCTGGGCTGGCCACAGGAAAAGCTGTGCCGACCTTGGACCCCAGCTCTGGAATGCAGGCTACTTCCCAGCAGCTGCAGTTGAGGGTTCCCTCTCCTTCAATGCTGTCCCTTCAAGAAGCCTGGTAGGAGGCCAGGGTGCTGTCACGCTGCCTGCACAGAGGCAGCCGGGGGCAGGGAGTGGGGGTAGCCTGTCTGGCCAGCCAGCGATCCTTGGAGCTTCTTGGAAGAACCTGTCTGTGTTCGAGGCTGAGAACCCACATGCCCAAGCCTGTTGGCAGGAGCATGCGTGTAAAACTCTTGTAGGTCTTGAGGGGCGAATTGGCAGCTGGGCAATGCCACCAAAGGTCAAATGAGGTAGGGCTGCATTCACATAACAGGAGTAGAGAGGTTAGAAGGACGGAGGGTACCTCTTGAACTCCTGTCTTCAGAGATTACACATGCAGTTCTCGGAGAAGGTCAGAAAATGACCATCAAGATGACTGGGGCCGTATGAAGCCTGCGTAAGCCAGTGCACCTACAGAATGTGGCAGCCGGGGACTGTCACACTGGGGCAGCCCAGTGCCACTGAGGCTGAAAAATCCGTGGACTCCTTGCCTCTAGGTCAGGCCATTGCTCGACGTCTGAAACCATTTGGTATCCAGAGATTTCTCTACACGGGGCGCCAGCCCAAGCCTCAGGAAGCAGCGGAATTCCAGGCAGAGTTTGGTAAGGAAAACCCTCATTTCTCCTGGAGTCCATCTGTGTTCCGTGGTGTGTGTGTGTGTGTGCGCATGTGTGTGTGCTCACATGCATGAGAGCGTGTGTGCATGTGTGATCTGCAGGTAAAATGCAGGACTTTGAGATGCGGGGGCCCTTCTATGACTCTTACGTGTTATCTAGTCTATCTACCTGAGACACAGAGGGCCACCCAGGAGCACAGACTTCCCGCCCTATGTCCTAGACCTCAAATTTTCTCATCTAGGTGGGAAGCCCTAGTAATTGATCTTTCTGTGTCTGCGCATGTCAGAGCTGATACTGCAGGCATACTTAGGTTGTGTGGCTTGTTTTGTGGGTGCTGAGACCCAAACTCTGGCTCTCGAGATAGTTTTAACTGCTGAACCACAGCCCCTCCATTGTAGTTTTTGAGACATGTTCTCGGTGAACCCAGAACTCACCAATGTGGCTACAGTGGCAGGCCAGGACTCCAGAGAACCACCTGTCTCCATCTCTCCAGGGTCAGAATATAGTCTTGCCCAGATTCTTAGGTGGGTGTTGGGAATCCAAACTCAAGTTTTCATGTCTACCCAGTGGGTACTTAACAGACATCTCCCTAACCCTCTGATTTTGTTTTGAGATGATTTCACTGGCTGCCCTCAGAGTCAAAATTACCTTCCTGCCTTAGCCTCCAGAGCTCTGGAATTACTGGTGTGTGTGGCCCCCTGCCTGGCATCCTCACGGTTCTTTTGTGGGAGGTGGGAGCTACTCCATGTTGTTGGCCTTGGCCATCTTGTAGTCCCCCACTGGTAGCCAGCCTCTGATGAAGTCCTCCCTGCCCACAGTGCCTCTTGCTCAGCTGGCTGCAGAATCAGACTTCATTGTAGTGGCCTGCTCTCTAACACCTGCCACCAGGGGGCTCTGCGGCAAGGATTTCTTCCAGAAGATGAAGAACACAGCTATCTTCATCAACATCAGCAGGTAGCTGAGGGCTGCCTTCCTCCCTGGGTCCCCCAGCACTCCTGGAGAGGGGTGTGTGAACTGCGGTGATCTGGAGTTCCTGTCCCTATTGGCTGGTGATGAGGGAGTTCAGGATGGCACGCCAACCTCTGTAAACCAGCAGCTCAAATATGGGAAAGGCCATTTGAGAAATGGGTGAGGAAGATCAGTCAGCACTGGGCCCAGCCTTCTGGTTCCCTGAAGTAGTTCAACCTTGCTAAGGGCCTGGCTTACAGCAGTGAGATTCTGGGAGCAAGTTGTGGGGGTGGGGGGTGGGAGATGGGAAGGGTAGAGTCCCCAGCAAGCTCACTACAAAGGGTGAGGCCTTTGTAGGGCCCTTCAAAGACCAGCCTTCCATGCTGCTGAGCCTGGCCTGACCTCAGTGATGTTTTGAACCTGTGCAGGCTTGGGGACACAGATCCTAAAACTCATTATCTTGAGTGACTTCAGGGCAGCAGTCCTGTGATGGAACCCCCCCCCCCCCATTGCAACCATCCTCATCTCCCTAAGCCCTCCCTGGTTGGCACCCTTTGAACCTTTTGTTTTTGAGACAGCCTCACTCACAGGCTGGCCTTGAACTTGCAGTCTTTTTGCCTTCACCTCCTAAGGGCTGGGGATTATAGGTGTGCGTCACCAAGGCTCCTTTGAACCTTAAAGCAGTTTTGAGAAAGATTAGGTGGACCTCCAGGGTTCATGTGCTCCAGAAGTGTCTGCCTACCTCTGATGCCTAAAGTTACCAACATTTAGCTACAGAGAGTGACCCTGGTGTGGAGGTGAGGAGTGGAGCAAGGCTCATGCCCATGGCGGCTTAGCTTCCCCCTGCCCAACACCTGGATGCACTTGAGACCATACAGGGCTCTGTATTTTGATACTCCATTGCTCAGGGATGATTGAGTATACGACAGAAGTTCCCAGAAAGCCAGTTCTTTACACGGACAGACAGGTTTATCTGCCCTTGTTTGGCCAAATATGTGATGGTACTTTGTGGCTCCTGGCCACTGATCTGGGGGCCAGGCATATCAGAAGCGCCCATGTGGGCCCAGCACAGCTGCAGACTCCCAGGCCCAGTGTGTGCAGAATGCTTGTTAAATACGCTCCCATCCCCCAGCACTCCTGGAAGTTGGGGTTTCCTTAGAGCGGGTAGCCCCCTGTAAGATGTTAGCTCCGTCACAAGCTGGTGAGTGGCGGGGCTCAGGTCAAGACAAGTGTTCTTGTGCAGACTCCCTGTAGTGTGTCAGGCCTTCCTGCCGAGAAGTCAGTGCAGGTGCTTGGTGAGTGGAATACATTCTGTGGGTTGTCCTGCCCTGACTGTGGCTTGGGTGGAGGGGGTGTCTGGGCCCCTGCACGACACTGTCACTTCCAGGGGGGATGTGGTTAACCAGGAAGACCTGTACCAGGCATTAGCCAGTGGCCAGATCGCAGCGGCAGGACTGGATGTGACCACCCCAGAACCACTGCCTCCAAGCCACCCCCTGCTGACGCTGAAGAACTGCGGTAAGGGCTGTGCAAATGCATCACTGCCTATGGAGTGTGGGAAATGGTCTGGGCCTGGCTGTGGAGCCAGCCGAGGCAGTGTTAACCCAGAGGGCACAGCCAGGGACTGGGAGTGTGTAGGCTGTTAGTGACTGGAGTTTAACAGGAATGCAATGCTCAGCTGGGTCTCTGTCGGAAGCAGATTCAAGAGGTTTGTTAAGTGAAGGCTGACCACACTCCCATCACTCTAAATGGCTGTTACCAGTGTATGGGAAAGGAATGAAACCACCGTTATTCACAACTGGCACAAGTTACGAAGTTATAAGCAACAACAGCTCACTCATGTTGTGGCTGGAGAGTGTCCATCTTTAGGTTTTCCAGCATTTGGATCACCGACCATCAGTGCCCCCAAGACGTCTTTTGAATTTGGGCCATTTTTCAGCCTTAGGCATGAAGAGCCTCCCCTCCCTCTTGGTCCTCAAGGGACCAAAAGTACAATTGCTCTAGTTTTCTGTGTATGGTATCCTAAAGGGACTAGTCACTCATTGCCAGGTCAGGTGACATGCTGCTGGTGCCTGTGGCCCTGGGAGCATTTGAGACCCTGGCCTCAGGGCTCGCCTTTCCTCGCTGTTTAGGAAATGGTGTTTCTGTCTCCAGACTCACCAACAGGCATCAGAGCTATGGCCGTCCCTCTGCATGCTGGAGAGCCCGGACATGTCCTTGCCGCCTCCTCAGCGAAGGCAGCCATTATTGCAGCCCTTGGCAATCCTCCTGACCCCAGCCCCATGGCCTGCCTGCAAGAACGCTAGCTGTGATGTGAGGGCTACTGTCCACAGCCAGGAAAGCTGGCCACAGCCGCGTTTCATGTCCCCACACAGCTGTGGAAGGCAGGCAGCTCCTTAGAGATAAATTCCTCACTTGCTGTGCATGTTAACCAGCATCCCATCATGGGTTACTTCTGTAGCTCAGAAGCCCTGTGCCATCTCTCTCAAGGGTGCAGGGTGTGGCTCCTAAGCTGGTGCCTAGTTTCACTATCTAGACAGACAAGACTCCCTGTAGCCTACAAAATTTTTAAGCGTTCAAATCTTGTCTTGTTTATATCTGGGTCTCAGCATTTGTCCCGAGGGAATGGGGTTCATGGGGAGCATCTGCCATCCTTAAGTCTAGCACACAGCCAATGGTGGGAGTGCTGAGGCAGAAACTTCGTCCTGTTGCCTGGTAGTGTGGGACCAATGCTTCCTTTTCCCTGCAGTGATCCTGCCCCACATTGGCAGTGCCACCTACAAAACTCGGAACACCATGTCTTTGCTGGCAGTTAACAACTTGCTGGCTGGCGTGAGAGGGGAGCCGATGCCCAGTGAACTCAAGCTGTAGCCAGATAGGGCTACATGGGCTTTCATGGGCTGGAGACATCTTGCCCAGCAGACCCAGGCTGGACTTTGAACCTGAGGGATGCCACCTCTACTAAGTCTTCAGGAGACATGAGAACTGGGAGATAAGCTGGACACACCCACACCAAAAGCCTGTAATTCTAACATTAAATAATTTCTGACACAGTGTCTGGCCTATGACTGGGGGCACTAACAAAAAGTGCATCTCTTATGCTTTCTGACTCGGGGCATCTGGGATTTGCTTGGCCCTGCTTCTCACATTGCCTTCACACGAACTCCTTCCCCTTTTCCACACTGAGGAACAAGTAGAACCAGAAAAACAATAGCACCTGAACCCAGTACCTAGACCATGGTGAAAGGACAGACAAGAGAGGGGAGAAAACGGCAGGAAAGGAGGCAAGGTCAGCGCTGTTGGTCAACAGTGAGTGAAGGCAGGAGGATTCCCAGTTCAAGATCTATATCCATGGCTACCGAAGTTCCCTCAGCACCCCAAGTAATGTTCCTTTTTTATCATCCTTCACTCTTCCCCAAGGCCAGGCCACAAGCACAAGTCATGGTCAAACTTCCCATAAAGCCACAGCACAGACAGGCAGGTTTGGGGAAAGCGGGAGTGACTTTGGGGTGGGAGCGCTCCTATCTTGCAGACTCAACTGATTTGAAGACAACCTAGCAGCTGGGCCAGAAGAGAAACACATCTCTGTTCTGTTTCCACCCTAACTTAAACAGAGGAGACCACGGTTTAGAGGCATGAATTTGACAAATTTTAATTTTAAAATCTGTTTTGACTAGCATTAGCACCGACAGGGTACCTCTACACTTGATGCCATCTCCAGAAGATTGTACGTGATTATGCCGGGCTATAATTAAGGCTAAAAATCAAAAGTCGGGCCCCCAGTACCAGCTAGAATCCCAGTGAAACTCCAGGTCACAGCAACCCTGGGCCTAGTTTCCCAGGGACCCTTGGAAATCTTTTAAGTGCTACAGCATGTCGGAGGACGCTGGCCTCAAGCTTGCTTCCCACGCGTAGAGACTGACTACGAGGTAGATGAGATCCCAGGTCCGTCCAGCATGGAGAGGCAGGCTCCATCGAGTGCCGGGGACAGGCTCCGGAGCAAAGTCCACTTGTATCCGAGCTGAGGTGAGGGGCAGACTCGAAGCACACACATCCTCAAGACAGGAAGGAAGAACTGCCGTTCTGCCTGTGACCCTGGCTCCTCACCCAGCACGGCATCTCTGGTCCTCCGTGCTGGCCTACCTGACTCCCACTGGTCCCTACACCATGAAGGTGGGGACCTACCCCATCGTGCCTCCTCAGGTCTCCTGGCAGTAAGCCACGCAGCAGTTTCTCAAGTGGTCCCACTGCTTCCAACGGTCTCTTTCCCAGGTTTCCATGTGGACTTTCCTCCCTGGGAATCTGTTCAGATGCTATGCCCTCTCAGAACATGACAGGTCTAGCCACAGATTTGTGGTCACACCAGCTTAAGGGAATACACAGTCATGTCTGTTTTAGAAAACTGAGAAATGTGTGGCTTTCTAAACTTAATGAATTGTGCACGATAATTTGGTATCTCTGAAAAAAAAAAGTGTATATTAAAACAACAACAAAAAAGGATTCTTGTTAAGTGTGAGCTTACAGAGATGCATGAACCTGTGTTGTTCTGGGCACATATCAGGGCATAGCAGCCCTGACAGCATGGTGTCAGTGGACAGCAAGGTAGAAGACAGAGAGGCCCTCTATGGAAAACTGAATGCCTCTCCAAGAGCCTTGGGTGTTTCTGGTAAATTCTATGCTATAGGCTGCCTGACTCTTCCTGGACTTGGAAAGTCCTGAGCCATGAACACTACTACATTTACATGTCAAATAACTAAACGCCGAGAACTGAAAGCTGAGGCTTTGAAAGCCTAGCACAGGACAGTAATAAAACCATGGCAACAGCGCTGCTGTGCTTAGTAACTGGTCAGTCCAGGAGAGGTGTTCTATGGGGCTTGGGAGTGAAAAGTAGCAAGGCTAAGAGCAGCTGATCTTGGGTGGACATGCCAGCTGGGCTGGGTAGCCTTGGGCATCCAGATGGAGTGAAAGGCAAATGCACCATGGGAACCCACAGAACAGGACTCCATATCACCAAAACAAAGACAGACACCAGCTTCCCACTGACTTCAAACAAATACACCATCAGAAATACACACTGGTTAAAACACTAACACGACACATAAACACCTCACTGTCACTCCCTACAAGTACATACTCCACTTACAACTTTGTTTTTAAAACCAGAAAAAAATTACTAAAGACACCTTTGCCATAGAGATGTATTCAAAAGTATATACACCTATTGGTCCAAGGGCATATTTACCTGGACCCAGTGTCAGCACCATCAGAGGGCAGTGTCTGTGACTGCAACTCAGATAAAAATACAAAATACAGTACTTTGAGGCCTCAGACTAGCCCAGGATATACTTTAGCATCAGTGGCATACAGGCTTGTCCTCCAAGGCCATTTGGCAGACAGCACCAAGTCACCTGGTTACAAATAAGTATGCTTTGCACTGCTGTACAGGGATGGAATACCCCCATCAGAGGATGTAGGAAATGTAATTAAATGCTTCACAGAGCTTTAAAATAGTGTTAGAATGTTTTTTTGCCCTTCCGTTTTGAAATGTGACACTCATCAATGACAAACTACCTTATGACTGCATTCCTCAACCCTAAGGAGGGACTTGGTTTCAGGATCACATCACTTTCCCTGGTGCGCACCTCACTCAGAAATGTGCAGAGTAAGAGCTATACCTAACAGTTCTCTGCTTACGGCTGGCTGAGGTTCATGAGAGCCACCCGACAGCTGAGACCTCGAGTCCAGTGGCATTAGCTGCCTGCCAACAGCGACCTTACTTTCAGTCCACAACTGGCCTGTGTGCCATCTCCCGAGGAGAGGCGGTTAGAGCAGAGTGCTGGGGAGGTTGCTGCTCTGCCAGCGCAGGCAGGTGGTCTTGGAGTGTTTGTACAGGTGGCTGGACTGGCTGAACCTCTTGCCGCACTTGAGGCAGGCGTACGGCTTTTCCCCCGTGTGGACTCGGATGTGTTTCTTGCAGTCTGTCAGAGTCAGGAAGGTTTTACAGCAGATTTTGCAGGCATACTTTCGAGCTCCCTCCACAACCAAGACATTGTGCTCTGATAAGGCCTTCTTGCATTTTGACAAGACATCAGCAGATGCCCTGGTCAGCTGCGGAGGGCCAGGCTGGGAAGGGTGGCCATTTTCAAATGAGGTGGTTCCGTTCATCATTAGCTGGGAACCGGGTGAGTTTTCAGGGATCTGTGAGCTCCTAACAGAAGTTACGACTGGCATTTTTGGAGCTATGCGTCGGTAGTACGGAAAGTTACTGGCTCCTCCTCTTGGGGAACCCATCATTGCCCTGGAGAAGGAGGAGTGGAGACCCAAGCCAGACCTGGAAAAATCCATCCCAAACTGTTCTCCTTGGTAGCCTGAGGTCTGCACACATGGCAGGCCCATCACCTCCTGCATAGGTCTGACAAAGTGGGAATCTGCAGGCTCACTGAATGGGTTCTCCACATGGGAGCCAGGAGCAGAGGAAGGCCCACCTGCTGGCCCAGCCTCTGGACTCAACAGGTAAGGGGCCTCAGCCTCCAACCTGCAGTCACTAGTGGTGTTTGGGATGTTGTCGTCTGTGCTCTGACTTGCGCTGAAGTTACTGCCCCTGCTCTTGTTGAGAAAATTGGAAATACTAAAGGAGGTCTTATGTTCTAGATTATTTGTGACTTCCAAGATGTGGATGTCCCCGACCCTGTCGGTGCTGGACTGGGGATCTGAAAAGCTCCGGTCACTGCTCTCAGGGCTGAGGTCTATCTTCTCAGCACTGACCACCACGCCTTCCACCTCCACAGACTCACTGCCCTCGGCCTGGGAGGTCACGTCGCTCACCTCATCCTGTGGCTCGGGAGAGCTCAGGGGCTCGGACTTCACCACCACTCTCATGTGCTCCTTCTCCCCAAGGCCAGCCTCAGGATTTTCACATGGGAAACTGCCTTTCTCAGCCACAGCCTCTTGTTCAAAACTAGTTTCAACCTGAGCTGCACGAGAGGCCATGTTGCCAGCACTGCCATCTGACTGGCTGGGCACCTGGGCGTCTTCTTGAGTACCAAAAGGCCGATCAAACATCATAGCACTGTCTTCCTGGTTGTCAGCCATCCCGTCGGGTTTAGGATTATCCACAATTTTCAGAGAATCTGGTGAGAAGAATTCCTCCCGGGAATGAACGCCCGAAGGCCCACTCTCTGGAGTAACATCAGAAATGGCAGATTCGTCCATGGAGGATCGGAGGCGCTGCCGGGCCCGCTCCTCTACAGACTGCTTGCGTTTGTGAAGGCGTCTCATGGGGAAGGGTGTCCGCTGGTCCAGGCTGCTGCGCATGGATGAGCTCATGGGGGCTGGCGGCTCCTCGCCACTCTGGCTGGAACTGAGAGCTGAGCTCACAATGCTCAGTCCCAGCTGTTGCAGCATAAAAGAGCGCTGCATGCGGGCACTCTGCTCTTGAACACGCTCACTGGGGGGAGACATGGGCAGCGTCCTTGTCGTCAGGTAATGTTTACATGCCTTAACAACAGAGTTCAAATGCAGGTGAGAGGCTGCCAACAGGACATCCATGACGTTGCTCTCCCCTAGCATGAGGGTGGAGGTATACATCATGTCAATCAGTGCAGCAAAGGCCTCTGCTGTCACCACCTCACTATCTAGCTGGATCATGTTCATGGTTTGATCTCCCTCTGCCACTGAGAACAGAGCTCGGAAATGCGTGCTGCATGCTGCCAGCACGGAGCGGTGGGCTTTGAAGTGTCTGTTCCCCACTACAATGACACAGTCACAGAGCTGGCCATGAAGTCTCTGGTAGTTCAACTGCTGAAAGATCTGCTCAAAGTGACCAGGAAAATCCATTGTCCTGTAGAAAACACACAGGAAGAAAGTGGTAAGACCTAACAAAGCTTAGCTCAGAGCCAGAACATAGAAGGCAGTAAGAGAGGTGTTAGCCAGGCAGTGCACACCTTTAATCTCAGCCCTCAGGAGGCAGAGGCAGGTGGATCTCTGAGTTCAAGGCCAGCCTGGACTACAGAGCAAGTTCTAGGGCAGCCAGGGCAATACAGAGAAAAGGCAAA